TCCTGCCCGGTATTTCAGAACTCATTTCACTTAACGACTTGTAACCTTCGGCGTTCAGAGCAAAAACATTTCTTAACTCCGGCATCGTATTCGTACAAGTCGTAAAAAAGCCTTAAAAATTCACTCGACCTGAATTCAAATTATCTGCTCTAAATTTCCAAAACAAAGTATTTCTCACGCCCATGCCACCTAATGCCGGTGTAAGTATGTACGTGATGTGTGCCACTTTTTTGCGGACCCAAGAACAACAATTATTATCGGTTGAGGAGTGCGCCCGTTTGTGATAAAAAAATAAATATTCACTTGTTTATTGCTTGTTTAATGGATGTTAGCATTAAATTAATTTAATCGACTCCATTGACGTTCCCCCAACACGCACACACACATAAACACAGCAACAACGCTGGAGCTGAATAAACCTGTTCATAGCGCTGGAACAACAAATCGTTAAACTGTATGAGATATGACTGTGTCCCAAATCATCGAAACGCCGCTGGGAATCTGTGTTAAGCTGCTCTTAATAATTCTTTTTCGATACAGAGGAATAAGAGAAATGTCAATAGTGTTTATTTGTTGTTGTCGTTGTTGTTGCTGCGGACATCGTATCGTCATCAATTGATGACTTGTTAACAAGAAACTCGCCTTTTAACACAACGGTGTCGTAGGAGTGTCAAGTGTGGTCAACATGCATGCCGAGCCATTGGACAATGACCTGTGAAGTGCACCCAGAACATTATTTAACACGCCCACATAAATGCTCGAAGAGAACGAAGAGGGGACACATAATCATCTGTTTGCGAAGAAATTTTCTGATAATATTGTCAAAAATCCCCAGCATTTGTGTGTTTGTCAACCGCACAAAAATAATATTCCCAAATGCTTCCATTAACATATAACCCGTAATGGTCGGCACAGTCCATACATCATCGAACGTGACAGGGAACAGTGGATTGGAGCAAATGTATTGGATGTGTTAAAAATAATCTCAAAAGAGGGTTTACTGATGATCTCCGCGAGTTGTATTTTATACTCAACTATTCTATGTCGTTGTCTTTCTCGTTATTCTCACAATTTTTATGTGACTTAATAGGTGTTAACCAAAGGTAGCAGCAATACTAACCAATATGTGTTTGGGCGCCATCCTGCTGGATACCTAAGATAATAGGTTCAGGGAGTAAGTTAGAAAAAGCGGACGATGATTCGGCAGTAATATGTTCATTTTGCACATATGTATATGTACATTCTTTGTATGCAGGTCAAGTCCAACGAAACCTGAATTTCAATGATTTGTGGAGTTTATCCAAATCCACCAATTAGAATCACATTTTCGAGTATTTTTCAACATTTTCAATACTTTCTCAATTTCCTGCAGACATCCTAGAAATTTCAGATTTCCCTATGTTGATGTTAAGTTGTCAATTCAGACATGTTGTTATTGTTGACACCTATATTGCAGAAATCTCCAAATAGTACCTTATTAAAAGTGGGTCTCCAGATGTACTGGACTACATATTACCAAAGATTTAACTTTAGCAAATTGACTGCTTTTTGAAATGAAAAAACTTTGGAGTCCAATTTTCAAAATTAGGCATATGTACAGGGTGAGATTAAAAAACTTCAACCAACTTCAGACTGCTGTCATTTCCAAGCCACTCGTCCGACAACTGTTAAAATTGTTGTTAAAATTACCTTAAGCAAGCGCTTCGCCGGGAATGGGCCAAAATACCGCAGAGTAACATTTGGGCAGCGTGTGACGGTTTCATTGGCCGTTTGAAGGCCATAATTCGTGCCAAACAATTCTAAACTTATTCTATCATTCAATAAAATTAAATAACACTTTGACACAAAATTAGGGTCAGCATCTCGGGGGAGGAATAGTCATTCATCTATTCATAAAATATTGGAGATGAAATGTTTGGTTTGTATAAAAAGAACACCCTGTCAGTCGAAATTTTTAATTATATTTTTTTAGCTATAGATATATCTTCAATCGAATCGGGTGAGAAAATTTTTGTGCAATATTTATTAGTCGATTTTTTGTATTTTTCTTTTGTCAGTGACAACTGTCAATATTTTTTTCTGGTAGCCTTTTTCAATACCAAGTTTCCTTTACATATTTTGTGTGTTTTTTGTTTTTTACCTTATGCCGAATTAATGTTATCAAAAAACAAACCTAAATCTATCTTAAGGCATTTATTTACTGACCTTTGGGATTATATTTCAGTTCAACTTTAAGCTTGCGGTCATTTATTCTTTAAAATTCATCAATAACATTGGAACATTAACTCCTTGTCGTTCTTTTGACCGAACTATTAAGATTTTACAATAGCCAAGTGTTTTATTCGCTTCTTAACTTTTCATCAACAGCTATTAAATTTAATATTTTCTGTCATTACGATTGGCAATAAAAACAGTTAAAAATAAATGCCAGATTAATAATGAATAAATTTTTGTTTTATATTTTATTTCTTGTCCTAAGGCCATGCAACATTTATGGCTCACATTTTTGTGATTTTTGAAAGAATGCAAATTAATTCGATATTTGTGATCCGTTTTTATTTTTTTGAGCGCGTGTGTATTTTTATCCTAAATTAATCCATCAACATATTCGTAGGCACAAATCTCTTATTTGGAAACTAAAACCCAACATTTATTCCGCCATTAATTATCATTAAGGGTTTGCAACAAATTATTGACCATAAATGTCATTGAGTCATCAAAGGATTTTTATTTACAATAAAAACAAATTTGTGTCACATCTTGGCATTTTAAATTCCGATCGCAATTAAGAGATCAATAAACATGTTTATTGCCGTTTTTTCTTCAAAACCAACCAACAGATTTATTTTGAAGTTTATGACTTTTAAAGACAAGATTAAGATCGACATTATATTCGTGTTAACATAGGTATTGTGTGTGCGTATATGTGTGTGTGTGTGTGTAGCAACATGAAGTTTAAACATTTATTCAGGAATAAAGTTTAAACAAACTGATTCAGGAGACTAAAGATTATACATTGTATGTTTAAGTGATATGTTATTGAATAAAGTTTTAAATTTTGGCAGGCCTACGAAAATCAATAAATCGGTTAAAAGAAGTTATAAAATAAACGTTTTGAGCCTGATATAGTAAATAGTAAATAAATGAAACCAATCACATAAAAACATATTTAGTCATAAATTTTGAAATGTTATACAAGCTTGCTCTGATTCATTTCAGCAAATACTTACTTTTTTGACAGCCACAATTCAACGACAGTTCTAGTACCCAGTTTACCTAAGTTGGTATTGAGTAGTTGCGAGTGTATTTTTAAAAATGTAGGACTAGCTATTTTTATAAAGTTTGTATGTTTCTCATTGCTCTTTCTTCAGCGTAACGATTTCATGCCAATCATCTGTTGAAATCAAGATTGAGGTAACAACGTTTAAAGTAAAGGAATAACATTTGTAATAGGCATTTGTGGTACTATTAGAATATTTAGAAAATTAAAATAGACTGAAGGGGACCAGGTTGAGGTCTAGCTTCCATAAAACAGAACCTACTAATTTTCTGCATTTTAAAAATTCCAGCCACAATTTTATACCGAGTATTCGAATATTTTGAGTTTGAATATTGTGGTTATATTCTTCTTGTAAAATAGTTAGGCTTAATCCTTTTTTTTTTTTTTGTGTAAGTTCCCTTTTTTCAAAAAATCGTCTCTGTCATAAACAGCTTGGGTATTGGATACACTAGAGGTCAGTCAATATATCGACGCCATTTGATTTTGTTTATTTTGAAAGGTTCAGCCACAATTTCCGACTAATGCATATTTAATATCTAAGTTCTGCCTGAAATACAGGGTGAGATGAAAAAACTGCAACCAACTTCAGACTGCTCTCATTGCTTAGCCACTCGTCCGACAGCTGTCAAAATTACTCCAGTGGCAGCTAATTATGTTGTTTATAAGCGTACAAATTCATTTTGGTGAGAATTTTCCAGAAAAAAAGTTATGCGTGATGGAATTTAAGCGTGATAGTGTGATTGCGTTAGAGGACCCCAGCATTTAAATGTGTATAAATCAGACCTCGGACATTCCAAAAATGGTTACAAAATTAGGTTTCTCGCTTCATTTCCAGCGCACAAGGGCCACCAAAATCTCCGGATACCAATCCGTTGGACTATTGTGTCTGGAGTATTGTGGAAAGCAAGTTTGGCACTAAAAATACCATAGTGTCGATAACCTTAAGCAAGTGCTTCGCAGAAAAAAGCCAAAATACCGCAGAGCAACATTCGGGCAGCGTGCTACGTTTTCATTGGCCGTTTGAAGGCCATAATTCATGCCAAAGGTGACCATTTGATGCTATTTCCGACATTTGCTTTCATTCAATAAAATTAAAAAAAATGTAAAAATTATGGCGTTTGACTTTGTTGTAGTTTTTCTATCACACCCAGTATTATATTTTTAAACTTCAATGACTTCTTCGTCAACTTTTTTTTTTTGATGTTGGACCCGGTTTAAGGACAATCAACTGAACCATAAATAAATCCTATAGAGGAGGGTAATAAATTGTCTATTAAGATGTTTTAGCTAGTTCTTTGTAAAGTTGCAAGGTCTCTATAGCCAAATCCTCAAAAATAGAAAGGGACAATTGTCATAAATACGAGTAATTTTATCAAAATTCAAAATCTTTTTGCCTAACACTTTTCACCTCATGGTCCACTGTGATTTCAAAATCATTTGTTTTTGTAAAATGTAAATCCAACTGAGAGTATTTTACATACCACAATGCATTACAGAATGTGTCTGTTTGCCTGTCGTCTTGTGTTTGTATTTGTTTGAATGTTTGTGCACACAGTTTAGAATGAATCTCTTGGAGATGAGAAGAAAACAAAAAAAAAAGCTGCAAAGATATTGCCTCTGCCAAAATGGAGAAAGAACAAAAGGAACGATGAAAGCCAGCCAAAGATTTCAAAGCAAAACTCTTTCCGTTTTTGTGGTTAAGGGTATAAAAGCTTACGACTTTCTCAAGATAAATATCAATTACCAATTCTCCAGCCAAGCATAAACTTGCAAATCAAAATCCATTTTTGCAAATATTTTACATCCTTCTAGTCGAAAATATCGAATAGCCTGACTTGTGTGCGAGAGTGTGAGTGTGTTCAAGCCAGCCGAGACAGGAAAGCCGGACGTAGAACGAAACGAATCGAAAAATAACGAAACCAAATAAAATCACAAAGGCACGAAATTGAGAAATTTCCTCTTGAAATTGAAAGTCTAATTTTAGTGCTACTAAAAATGGTACGTGGGACATTCCAAATAATGGCCATTATCTTGGCCTGTGGCCTAGCTCACTCGGCGATTGCCGGTGTTGCTGTAACTCAGTCATCAAGGAGGCCAGTCAAAACGACGACAACAACCACATCTCGTCCTGTTGACACAACCAACAAATATTATCACCCAGCCGAAGTAAAGGAACCCCGAGTAATTGAGCAAATGGACCAGCGTTACGTGGATGGCAATTACGAATACAAGTAAGTAATTGAGGACATTTATTAGTATGTGTGTGATGTAGATTGTTGTGATGAAATAATTTAAGTGACAATAATTAAAGTCATTATGAGTGATAATTATGGCTAACACCTCGAATCGCTGACAGTGAAATTTGGCCAAATTTCCAAAAAAAAAAAACGAATATATTTTGTGGAATTCAAAGGGCCCCCCCCCCCCCTTTTTTTGCTTAATTATGTGTGATAACCATCAATTATTACAAATTGTATATCTCTACGGATACATTTCGGCCAAGTCTGTAGAACACATCGGCTTGTGTTTGAATGACAGGTCGTTGGCCTTTAAAGCAAAACAAGTCTGTTTTTTTCTTTTTGCTTTGTATTAGCAGAGTGTAATTAAAAATTCATAATTCATGACATCCAAAAATGTCATAATAAATTTGAGTACAAGTATTTTCAAGACGCCATAAATTAAATTCATATTCAGTGTGAAAGAAATTTAAAAAATACTCAGAATTTTAAATTCAGTTAATGAAACAAAGTTGCAGCAAATCTTCACGCACATTATCGAGGCTAACACAGAATTGAATGAAAAATAATAAAACCTTGATTTATCTTTCTTACAGATATGTCCTCAGCAATGGTGTATCGCGGCATGAAAAGTCATTTTGGGTTCCAATGGGAAAGTCGAAAGTTATGGGCCGCAAGGGTTACTATTCCCATCCTCTGACAAATGGAAAATACTTGACCGTCTTTTATTCCTCCGATGACAAGGGTTATCATCAGGATTCTGGTAAGTTGCAAAACTATTAATTATAGTTATTTATTTACAAAAACCCAAAATATTAAACAAATATCGCGTTGTCGTTCAAAATACGTGATACGAAGCAATACCCTTGCACCAAATATATGTTTTCATGACTATATAAAGAGGTATCCACCAGGATTTGATTCGCATTCCTTTAGAGAAATACAATTTATTCACTGATATTATATGTCAAATTGTATTCAATTACATCCGTCAGGAACAGAGATAACCAGACAAAAGGAAAGGAGAAAGTTTTTTTCAGCTCTTCACACTCTACGACACGAATACACACTGCTTTCACGACATAAAGAACAATTGTTTTGACTTTTGAGTTCAATTGCTTCGGGTGACAAATCGGTTCACTCATACAGTGACATAAACATTCTCATTTTTCGCATACACATGCATTTCGGAAAGTTAGAGTCTCTCACTTACGACCATTTAACACATCTCAAACTGTAGCCCATATGGCATCTACAACAGTTATTTTGATGAGTTACAAGCTAATTGGAAAATTTGATATAACCTCTATCCCACGGTATGGGAAGTTACAGCGGGGTTTCATAACTGCTCATCTATTAACTAAATTCAGTATTTATGTAGTGAGATTTAAATGCTAGTTCTCACAAAAACGTTTACATGCCTCATTTTGAGCCAAATATGGTCCAGTGTAACAAATTACATTCTCTTTTGCAGCCACCTATTCGGATAGGGCCCCCGTATTGCCGCGTAGTTTGGATGTGCCGCATTACGATTTACCCGTGGAGACCACAACCGTTGCTGCCAACAAACAGAAACAAAAAACCAAGAGACCCACACGTAAACCACAGGCATTCTAATAGCGACACCCAACCCCCGAAGAGTACACCACATTCTCAGCCAGCTGCACCACACCACCGCTAAGTGGTTTACACCACCACTGCTCGCAATAATTCCATTCCAAACACAATAATCATGCCAGCCCCGCAAACACCAGCAAACATTGAGCGTCTGTCACGGAAACAAAAGCGAAATCAATGAAGTTGCCAGCCAGCAGAGTTGACTCTGGGATGGATAGCCGCTTTGAATCTCAGTTGAGCACTTGCCAAGGGAAATATTTGTACAACCGCACTCCTACACCCACACGCAAACACCCTCTCTCTCATACTCTTCTCGCCCACCTAAACTTGTTTAAATAGATAAAATATGCAACAACAACAACAACAGTAACATTTGTTTTAATTTCATATTTTATTCAGAATGAGCCTGTAAAAGTTGTTCCTTGTATTCAACACCCCTCCTACACTTTTATCCAATTAACAACAATAACAACTACAACAACTAAAAGAACAGTGGTCCCATGCTAATGCACAGCTCCCAAGGCTCCAAGGCAGACCATGTTTGCTGATAGTTGACTGTAAAAGAGCTTCCTTTTGTAAATTCAATTAATGAATGACAAATACTCGCTTCGTTTGAGTTCCATCCGCTTGAAATAGCAGCTATGGCTTTTTGTTTGCCTTCTGGAATTAAAACGTTTTTTGGTTTTTTTGTGAGGAACTGACTGGAAGTTACTAATACGTACTTACAAACTTTAATGGCGTGTACTTTGTCATATTATCCAGTCCGAAAGGAAGACCGATTTCAGGAAGTATTGCAAAAAACTCAACACATTGCATAGAAGAATTTAGGAGACAAATTCAAATGTGACAAACTTTCTTAATTTACAACAACAAAGAACACAATTACAAGTTGTTGATGAGGGTTACAACAACAGCAATTAGAAGTTTTGAGATTTAAATATCTTTGGGTGGAAAACTAAACAATTATATACCAAAAAAAAATTGTGTGATGTGTTGTGTCAAAATACCCAAGGGAGCTGATTTCAATTTCACTGTGCGACAAAATTCAATATTTTCAATAATTAGAGGAAAATATCGAAGAGATTATGAAAGTGGAACTAAAAACTGAAGGCAGGAGTAAGATTATATCGCTAAGTTACCTAAACAGAGAGGCCAAATATGTCGCTACTACACATTTTTTTAAATTGTAGGAATAAGAATTCTTGGAATCCGTACGTTTTAGATATACATATTACTGACAATAATACGAGCTTTATTTTCATTAATGTTTTTTTTTCAAATGTGGTTAAACATAAAACCAGTAGAGAAAGTCCTAAAGTCGGGCGGGGCCGATTTTATGATACCCTACACCAATTTGCTAATTTAGTTGAGCTCCACTTAATAATTAAAAGTTTTTATTGGAGAATTCAATCATACACGCTATGATTATAATTATAATTTAAAATTCAAAGGACTAAATATGCCAAAGAATTTGTATCTTTTAAATCCGGACTTGTATTGCCCACTTGGTGCAAAATTAATTTGAAATCAGATAAAGATATATATGGGAACTATATCCAAATCTGAACCGATCTCGATAAAATTTGGCAAAGATATTTTTGAGCTGTATTTGATATATTTTCCTGAATATCGTTGTTACGGAGTGCATATTACGGCTGTAGGTAACAAATACAGCTATATCTGAACCGATTTCGATCAAATTTGGCATACTTATTTTCAGGCCTAATTTGGTTTTATGTGCAAAATTTCATGCTGATATTACACGTTTGGTGCACAATAAAAGGCAAATTGGACGAAGATATATAAGGGAGCTATATCTAAATTTTTACCGATTATCTCCAATTTCAATAGGGTTCGTCCTTGGGCCAAACAAATGTTGTTTGCAAAGTTTTATCTCAATCGGATAATAAATGCGACCTGCATTTTGTTCACAAGAATACATGGACAGACGGACGGACGGACGGATGGACAGACGGGCTGACATGCATAAATCAACTCAGAAAGTGATTCTATGCAGATCATCAAAAGGAACTATGGGTCTATCTCGTTTCCTTTTGCCTGTTACAAACAAATGCACAAATACATAATACCCTGACCACCTTGTGGTGTAGGGTATAAATTTCCTTCGATAAATAATATCAAAGAAAATACATGAATGTTGCCAAGACACACGAAAACATTTCTTATTTTCTAGGTCTTTTATACTCTGTGAATGGAAATAACATAAAATTTCGTTATAGGCAGAAAGTGTCAAAAGGAGAAATGTTCTACACAAACTTTCATCATAAATCTTAGAACAAACCTTTTTTTAAAGTTTCAAAACTTTTAAAGAGAGTTACATTTCAAATGAATTTATTACAAGAACAAAATATTTGTTTACGTTTTGTATTATTAATTTAACACTATTCCGATTTATGCCAAAGTCTCCCTCAATACTTTATTTTTTGGGGAAATTGTGTTAAAGAATGTTCTGGACAAAATTTTCATTTTGGGTCTCCGAGCAAAAGACTACTTATGTGGGACTTATGGAGAATTTTGAAATTTTGTTTACAATGATAAACTCTAGCTCCATACCATAATCCAGCTTTGGGGAATTTTTGTTTAAATTTCATGTCATTGTATACCTTTTTTTACTGGACTATTAAATTGACCACTCCTTATAAAAATTTGTTTTGTTTACATTTTTGAACATATAACTCTGACACTTACATTATCCACAAAAACAAAATTGGTATGTGGTTGTTGTACAACAACACTTGCTGTTATTTGCATTATTCTACCATGGACATGGTCGAGTATTTCCGAAAAAGGTTGCCATATTCAATTTAGCAAATGTGGTTGTTGTACAACAACACTTGCTGTTATTTGCATTATTCTACCATGGACATGGTCGAGTATTTCCGAAAAAGGTTGCCATATTCAATTTAGCAAATGTATCTACGTCTATTGTTTTGCCATGGATAATTTATAGGTTTCTGAACAACATATCGATTCTTCTAACAAAAAAGAGGGATTAATATTCGTTTTACTTTTCATAATAACGTTCTTAATAAAATCAAGTAAAACAAAGCAAAGTTCTTGAAAATTTTGAACAATTTCCAAAAAATACCGTTTAAATGATGAGCTTTAATTTTTTTTTAATTTAAAACAATTCCGGCGAATGTCGCTAAATCATCAAGATGCGAAATAAAGGGAGGTATCGCTATATGGAAGTTATACGAAGACGTGGACATGCATACGAAATTTGTATACCCTCCACCATAATATGGAGGGTATATTAAGTTTGTTATTTCGTTTGTAACACCTCGAAATATACATTCTAGACCCCACAAAGTATATATATTCTTGATCAGCATAAAATTCTATGTCGATTTAGCGATGTCCGCCTAACCGTCTGAGCAAATCACTCTAGCTTCCGAACGAACCCAAGTAGGTTGATAAAATTGTACTCAAATGTATAATTTGTCTGCAGGACTTTTGGTATTGATAATACCAATGTCGCTACAATCATCATCAAGGGGCTATACGAAGTCGTGGGCCTGCTTAAATCAAAAAAAATACCGAAAATAGGTAGCTAGGGGTTATACCAAAACGTGAACCCATTACGTTTTGGTATAACCCCTCTCTCCCTATTTTCGGTATTTTTTTTTTGATTTAAGCAGGCCCACGACTTCGTATAGCCCCTTGATGATGATTGTAGCGACATTATTCACCGGAATTGCTTCAAATATGGTATTTTCAGTTCGTAATAGATACTACAGCCTATGGCAGAAAATTATCTATGCAGGTCCACGTCTTCGGTATTTTGATGATTTTAGCGACATTATTCACCGGAATTGTTTCAAATTTGGTATTAAAGTTCGTAATGGATATTACAGCCTATAACAGAATATGTATAGCCCCCATCAAATGGTAACTCCCTATATTCGGTATTTTGCCTACGGACGGACATACGGCCATAGCTAAATCGTTTTTGAATTTTACTCTGATCCAGAATATATATACTTTTATAGAATATTTAGAATGAAAAAGCTAATATAGATTCCATAGAATGTTGGAGGGTATACAAAAACAAGAAATATAAAGTATATATATATATATATATATATATATATATATATATATATATATATATATATATAAATAATAACAAGAACTGTAAAGTAAAGTTCTTAGGTTGCTCAACGAAATTTCCCCACGCATACACACAAATCCCTTTAAAGTGATATTTTTTTTATCAAATAAAAATAAACACGTGACATCTATCTTATTAAAAAAACATTTCAAAACTTGAAATAATCCTAATCGCCAAGCAACAACTGTGATAAGAAGAACAATAACAACAGCTACATCATATTATGAGGATAATGAAGTACACTATCGTGGTCACTGCTGTTCGAGGAAAATGGTTTTACTTTTTCCGATTTTGGAAACATAATTAAATCTTCGAATGCCACAGGATTAAAATGGAGCATTCTCAAACAGCTGTGCTCAAGGATAATGATGCACTGAAATCCGATAGGAAGTCAGGGAGATGCATAATTCTTAATGGTGAGTGTGTGTATCGGTGCGCGAGTGTGTATGTGTGTGTGTGCGAGTGGATATATTACCATGTGTCATATTATGTGGACAGTCCTTTTGCTGGTCTGCTATGACTAACCGAGCGAGTGGTCGTACAAATGTGATGCTGCGTTTTTTGCAAAACGTTCTATTTGTTTAGCAAATGGTTGTGGTTGTGACTTTTTTCGTCTCCTTGCTTTGTTTAGCATTTCTATGGCATGGTCGTAACCACTCATTTAAGTCTGACATGTTATTGGAATTACAAATGGCTAAGCACGAGCCAAACGAGTTTATAAAGTGTGTGGACGCCTGGATGTGGGTCCTCTGCCTCCTATCCTCTCCTTCTGACCGCATAAAATTAATCATGCGGCTTAAAAAGGACATGTATGCAAACAGACAAACCCATGGACACATCACAGCGATTCAAATTCGAACAATATTGTAAACTGTGTCTTTGCACAGATACACTTACACACACACACACATTCCGAAGTCCAGTGTCGAGCACTTCGTCTACGGTGTTTTCTTAATTCAGTTCAATATTGGTTCTTCACCACTTTGTGGGTGTTATTTACATTCGAATTGTTTACAAAAGACGAATGCGTCGTCCACATTTGGCCATGGATGGTGCGGCCGAAAGCTCACATGGTGAGCGAGGTGTTTGGCCCAAGAATTGCATATTCGAATGTGACCATCCTCCGGACGGGAGAAGAAAACTAGATACTGGTTGGCGAAAGGGAGGAGAAGAATCAGCAAAACCTAATCCATGCCCTTCTAACCCTAAGCAGTTATGCCAACTGTGCATA